AGAAGAGCCACCAGTGGAGTGTGTGCAAGATCCCTGCCTGCAGCAGCGCAGGCAGCAGAGGGCACAGCACCGAGACCATGAGAGCAGGCACAGCAACCGTGTGCAGGCTGATAGGAGTGGTGGGCTTGGAAGGTATGGAGGAAGAGGTCTAGGGACCACTTGGCTGAGAAGTCAAGGACCCGAGAGACATGCCCTCAGCATGGCCGAGAAGAGGCACTGTGGACAAAAGAACTGTGACATGTTCCCTGACCTAATAAACCTCCACAGTTATGAGTGTTGCCTGTGGGTCGGGGGTAAATACTGCAGTGGATCTTCTAGCCCAGCAGAGACGTAGAGGGTCCTGGAAGGACCATGAGTGTCAGCAATGATGAAGGAGGTTGGAGGCTGGATGCATGGCTGACTCCTGTTTCATAGGAACCATCCTTGGGCAAAGTGAGCTGGGTTTCTCTTCTCTTTTTTGTAGCCAGTGGATCTCAGAGATGGTGCCCACCCTGTATTCTCCCTGTCGTAGGAAAAATGAGGAAGACATGGGTAACCCAGCCCCAGGAGAAGGCTCCCCAAATCAGGAAAATCTTGGTGTTAGGTGTAGTTGTGTCAGTTCTGATTCATAGCAACCCTGTACAACAGAATGAACCTCTGCTCACTCCTGTCATATGACGGGGTCCCTCCCAGAACACTGGAAAATATTTTGAAAAGCTATGTATACTTAAAATTTTTTAAAGAAAACAACCTTATCACCTTCAAATTATTTTCCATTAAACTTAATTTGTGAAATCAGTGGTTCCATTCTTGGAAACACTTTTCTTTTTTTTTTTTTTTTCAAACTTATCTGTTTGGATGGCTGACAGCACCTCCCGTGTTTTTTTCTTCATCCCTTCTACAACATCAAATCGCTGTCCTTTCATGTCCCTCTGCATCCCTGGAAACAAACATTCACATGGAGCGAGGTTCAGTGAGTGAGGTGCATGGGGCAAGAGAGGATGCTGTTTTTGTCAAAAACTGGCTTCTGAGATGGCTGTGTAAGCAGGTGCAGTGTTGAGGTGGCAAAACCAGTCCCGTCTGCCACAAATCAGGCCTTTTTGTTGCACACTGTTACTCAACCTTTTCAGAACCTCTACATAGAAAGTGTCTAACACTCTGACCTGGTGGAATGAACTTCAAATGCACTGTGAGTTGACATTTTTGTCCATTTGGGAAGTTGATGGACTTCCAGAGCAAGGTTTGTCATCAATCAACATTTCACCTTTTTGAAACAAGCAAAGTGCTTGTATACTTGAGTTTGTCCCATAGCACTGTCCTTGTAAGTTGTGTTCAACATCACAACAGTTTCTGTGGTATATCTCCTGAACAGAAAACAACACACTGTTCTCTTCAATTGGCCATCACAAAAAACAAGCTTTGAGCAAAACTGCTTTTACAAACAAACTGGCCAGAGAGAACCTTCCCAGTGGATGCCAGTGGGTGCACCGAGTCAGAGTGAGTTGTTGGATGCTTGCCTGGTGGGAAACGTTCATAATGTGAAAGCTTTTTCTCATTTTTTGGGTGGGGGCACCCCCTTGTACATAAGAACAGGGAAATCTGGTGACTCTCAAAATAGTGTTTATTCTATGCCAGTGTGCCGGGGAGACTCCTCTTTTTGCACCTTCTTCGATTTTTATCTTAGTGTATTATACAGACTCCTCATCAAGGACCACCCCTCCCCCTTGTACACAGAGTGGTGGGTTATGTCTGGACCCTGGGAACAGGAGGGTAGAATTTCCTTAACTGGGAGATACCTTTAGTCCTTTGAGATCAGAATCAGTGTTATCTCTCCTCTGCTTTCCAGATTTTACAGGAAGCCCGAGTGCACACTCAATGTCGGGGAACTACTCCAGTGCCACTGAATTTTATCTCGTTGGCTTCCCTGGCTCCCGCCATCTACGCTATAGCCTGTTTGCCACCTTCTTGTTCCTGTACTCAGTGTCGTTAATGGGAAACTCTGTCATCATCACGATTGTGTGTGTTGACAAGCGTCTGCAGTCCCCCATGTACTTCTTCCTCAGCCACCTCTCTGTACTGGAGATCCTGATCACGTCCGTTATTGTCCCTGTGATGCTCTGGGGGCTGCTGCTCCCCGGGATGCTGAGAATATCGCTGCGTGTCTGTGTCGTGCAGCTCTTCTTGAACCTCTCTCTGGGGACCTCAGAGTTTTCTTTACTGGGAGCGATGGCTGTGGACCGCTACGTGGCTGTCTGTAACCCTCTGAAGTACAACATCATCATGAACAGTCAAACCTGTAACTGGGTGGTGATTGTGTCCTGGGTGTTTGGACTCCTTTCTCAAATCTGGCCCATCTACGCCACCTTCCAGTTCACCTACTGCAAATCCAACGTGGTGAATAATTTTTTCTGCGACCGTGGACAATTGCTCAAACTGTCTTGTGACAACACTCAGTTCACTGAGTTTGTCCTCTTCTTGATGGCCATTGTCATCATCGCTGGCTCTCTGATCCCAACAGTCGTCTCCTACACCTACATCATCTCCACCATCCTCAAGATCCCCTCAGCCTCTGGCCGCAGGAAAGCCTTCTCCACCTGCGCCTCCCACTTCACCTTTGTCGTCATTGGCTATGGCAGCTGCTTCTTCCTCTACGTGAAGCCCAAGCAAACGCAGGCATCTGACTACAACAGGGCCGTTTCCCTGTTGGTGACTGTGGTGACCCCCTTCCTCAACCCTTTCATCTTCACCCTGCGGAATGACAAAGTCATAGAAGCCCTGCGGGATGGGGTGAAACGCTGCTGCCACCTCATCCACAAGAAGCCCTTCCCTAGGGCAGTTTTATGAAGCAAAACAGTTGTCGTGGGTTGGAGAACCATTATTTACTTGTAATCTTTATGCTTCATCTTCATGAGTCTGTCTCCCTTAGGATATAGGAAAAGTCGTAAAAAGAAAATTGCAGAATAATACGTCAGAGGCGGTGTACCAAATTCCAACCCACTGCCATGGTGTTTATGCTAACTTAAAAGTCCTACTAGACTCGGCTTTTATTAATTTTTATGCCAAGGCTTACTTTATTATTTTACTATTATTATATGCATGAATATGTATAGAAAAATAAATCCTAAGGGTTGTTTTAAACTCATAGGAACCGTTATTAAACAAAAACATTTCAACGTGAAGATATTATTTCTCCACATATCTCCCAGCTGAGTCAACACAGCTCTGAACGTAGTTTCTCTCCACTGAGCTTCGTGGTGCTGTGGGTTCCGCTTTGGGTTGCTAACTGCACGGTTCAAACCTCCAGCTGCTCTGTGGGAGAAAGAGGAGGCTGCCTGCTCTCGTGAACATCTGGCAACCCCATAGAGGGCTGCTATGAGCTGGAATTGACTCAGCGGCAGTGGGTTTGGGTTTGGGGCTGGGAACACTTTTCTGAAGATGTATTCTGTAATCTTCCACGACAGCAGTGCAGATGGCTTGAGGGATTCAACTTGTGCTCCTTTAAATGCTCTTGGAGTTTTGAGGACAGAAAAAAAAACAAGGGGACAGATCCAGCGTTTGGGGTAAAGTTCTGCATGCAATTCTCTGAGGACAGCACTTGGTGCTGATGAAGAATGGCAGGCGCACTTCTATGGGGGAAGAAAAGTTCCTCGGTGCAGCTCTCCTGGCCATTTTCAAATTTCTTGAAACTTCTTCGTGAGACACCCTCTTGATTGACCTGGGTCATTCAAGACAATCCCTTGAAGTCACCCCTTTGGGATCCCTGGGGACAAGCTGCACAATCTTCTGAGTCGAACTCTGCCTTGAATGGAACTGGCCCAGCAGATACCTCAAGAAATCACTGTTCTGATTGGACCTTCTATTGAAGGGCCGTCATGAGACTAAGACAAGTGTGTTACCTAGATGTCTGCAGACCTCCCGGGATCCCAGAGACATGTTTTCACATCAGTCCTTCCGGTATCCCAGAGACATGTTTACACATATTTTGTTTGGAATGAACCCATACATATGTGAACTAGAATCCTAGAAACAATACTTTCCATACCTTCATTTATGTGTACATGTGTATATATTTCACATCCTCCATATATTTTATGTACTCTTCTCAAGTGATAATCCATTTCAGAATTGTTCGTTATTGAGTTTCCTTCAAATGCATGGCAAATGTAACACAACACCATGAAGTGTTGCCGGGTGTTATACCTTCTCTATGATCTTTGCTGTATTTGAATCCATCATTTCAGTTATTAGGTCAATCCATCTCACCTGGGGTTGCTGTCATGTTTATTGGTGTCTCCTTTACCAAATATGAAAAAGGTATCTCACAATAAAACATTTATATATTAAATACTTAGAAAGTCATTTTATTGGGGGATTTGTACAACTCTTATCACAATCCATACATACATCCATTGTGTCAAGCACATTTGTATATTTGTTGCCATCATCATTTTCAAAACATTTTCTTTCTACTTGAGCCCTTGGTGTCAGCTCCTAATTTTTTCTCCTTTCTCCCCCACCCTCCCTCTCTCATGAACCCTGCATAATTTAGAAATAATTCTTATTTTTCATGTCTTACACTGACTGATGTCTCCCTTCACCCACTTGTCTGTTGTGTGTCCCTGGGAGGGGGTTATATATAGATCATTGTGATTGGTTCTCCCTTCCTCTCCCAAACTTCCCCTTAACTTCCTTATAATGCAATTCTCCATATTGGTCCTGAGGGGTTTACCTCTCCTGGGGTCCCTGCATTTCCAGCTCTTATCTGTACCTGTGCACATTCTCTGGTCTAGCCGGATTCGTACGGTACAATTGGGGTCACCATAGTGGGAGAGGAAGGGGAGGAGGAAGCATTAAAGAACTAGAAAAAAGTTGTATATTTCAACAGTACTATACTGCACCCTGACTGGCTCATCTGCTCCTTGCAACCCTTCTGTAAAGGGATGTCCAATTACCTACAGATGGGCTTTGGGTCTCCACTCCGCACCTCCTCTCATTCACAATGATATGATTTTTTTAAATTCTGGGTCTTTGATGCCTGATACCCAATTCTATCGACAACTCATGATCACAAAGGCTGGTGTACTTCTTCTATGTGGGCTTTGTTACTTCTCAGCTAGATGGCCACTTGTTAATTTTCAAGGCTTTAAGACCCCAGGTGTTACATCTTTTGATAGCTGGGCACCATCAGCTTTCTTCACCACATTGGCTTATGCACCCATTTGGTCTTCTGTGATCATGTGGCAAGATGAGCATCATGGAATGCCAGGTTATCAGAACAAAGTGTTCTTGCCTTGAGTGAGTACTTGAGTAGAGGCCCAATGTCCATCTGCAACTGTGATACTTAACATAGAAATATATGTACATAGATCTATTTTCCTGTTGTTATATATAAATATGTTTATATATGTACATGCCCTGTATTTAGAGCTCTAGAGCCATATGCCTCCTAGTTCTTTCCTCTATTTCCTTTTACTTTCCTCTTGTCCCACTATCATGTTTGACCTACATTCGGGTTTCAGTAATTCCTCTTGGCTACATTGCCCTTGATTAAGCCACACCAGGCATCCTACGCCCTCCTCGCCATTGATTTTAGATCACTTGTTCCTTTGTCCCTAGGTTTGTTAACACCCATTTCCTTTCCTTGCCTCTCCCTCTCCCATGTCCCTGAAACCATTGGTCCCCTTGTTTTCTCCTCCAGATGGGTTATCCTGCCTACCTTATCTAAATAGATATACAAAGACAGTAATAAGCACAAAAACAAGACAGAGCTAAACAAAGCAACAAAAGGAAACAAAACAATGACAAAAATGAAAACCCTATAAAGAGTTCAAGGTCTGTTTGGTGGCCTTTAGGAGTGTTTTCTGGTCGAGTCTGATGGGGTGCCATGCACCGGCTCCACAATCTATTTTGGTATTCCTTGGGGACTTCATTGTTTTGCTCCCCTTGCTATTTTGTTGCACACCCTTACTGTTTCACCCTGTGTCATGGGGTCAGATCGGGCACAATTCCCGCACACTGTCTCCAGTGTTGTCCCTGTAGCAGTATGGGTCAGTGAGGGAAGTCGTGTCTCATGGTGGGGTGGGCCCTATGGTCTTCTCAATGCTTTGGTCGCTTTGAGGGGGAATATTTTCCTCCGGGCTTGGTGGGCCAGGGTGTGCTCCACTGTATGCTGTTATCAAACATGTCCCTCTTCCTGAACTGTAGCTTCAGTGCTGTTCTCTGAAGTAAATTCTTCTAGGGGGAGGGTGGGTTGTCCACGTAGTAGGGATTGGGACTGGCCCCTTAGACCTCTCTATTGGTTCCCTACTTCATGCAGGTATGTTGCATTCACGTCTTTGCACACAGGGTTGAAGTCTGGTCCTTCTCTCCCTATCGAGATATAAACAACACACTCCCCTTGGTTGGGTTAATGCCCTGTTCCCCCCTTACCCATGTCTTTTCCTTTTCTTTTTCTTTTCCCCTCCTTTTTAGTTGGCTACCATATGCATCCCTAGGTTTGGTCTGGCCCCTGCCATACTACCTGTACCTCACCCCAGGAATTTATGTATGCAGTAGTTTTTCCCTATGCCCCTTTTGAATTTTTAAGCTTACCTCAGTGGATTCATGTTGCTTTTGTCCTTTTGTGCTGGACTTACTTCGCTTGGAATAATTCCCTCCAGTTCTTCCCATGCAGTGATGTGCTTCATGTGTTCATCACTGCTTTTTAGGAATGCATCATACTCCATTGCATGTATGTACCACAGTTTTTTAATCCATTCAACTGTTGATGGAAATCTGGGTTGTTTCCAACTCCTTGCAATTGTGAACTGTGCCCTGATGAACATTGGAGCACAGATGTCTGGCCGTGGTTTGTTTCTTGCCTCTTCTGGGTATATGCCCAGTAGGGGCATTGCTGGATCCTATGGTAGCTCGATTTCAATCTGTTTTACATATCACCAAATTGATTTCCATAGTGGCTGTGCATACTGACAGGTCCACCAGCAGTGGACTAAAGTTCCTATCTCACCACGGGCCCTCCAACACTTGTTACTTTCCGATTTTTTGAATTGGGTATCTTTGAGGGTGTTAAGTGGTACCTCCTCATTTTTAAAATTTGCATTTCTCTTATGACTAATAATTGGGAACATTTTCTCATATGTTCATTGGCCATTCTGCTTTCTGCCTCTGTGAAACTTCTGTTCATATCTTTTGCTCACCTTCTCAGTGAGCAATTCGTTGTTGTTTTTTTCATTTTGGAAGCTGTCAGAGTACTGTAGATTTTAGTAGTAAGGCCTTTGTCTGATGGTCATTTCTAAAGATGTTTTCCCAGTTCTTGGGCACTCTTTTTACTGTCTTGGTGAATTCTTTCGATGTACACAGGTGTTTTGTCTTCAGTATATCCCACTTGTCAATTTGTACCTCATATGTATTTGTGTCCTTCCCTATTTCCAATAGCCTATGTATTCCCTGCGCCAAAGTTCTCAGGTTTATTCCAATTCCTTCATTATGGGCCTAAGAGTTTGGGGTTTTACCTCAAGGTCTGTGATCCACCCTGAGTTTATTCTTGTGCATAGACTGAGGTAAGGGACTTGCTTCATTTTTCTGCAGGTAGTATCCATTTTTTCCAGTACAACTTGTTGACAAGGGCATCCATTTCCCATTTAATATTTTTGGGCCCTTATCAAAGATCAGTTGTCTGTATGCTGATGATTTTATTTCTGTGTTTTCAGTTCTTGTCCATTGGTCTGAGTATCTGTCATTACACCAATACCATGCAGTTTTGACCACTGTGGCTGTATAATATATGCTAAAGTCAGGTAAAGTGAGCCCTCCTACTGTGTCCTTCTTGAGGAATTCTCTGCTAA